CAAACAGATGTTGGTGGAATTGCTGAACCAAACATTTATCAAGCTAATTATTTGTTGCAATCTGGGATAATACGTCTCAGCCAATTTTGCCAATTCGACTTCACAGACAAAACAACGGATTGCTCAACAGTTACTTGGTGTGAAAGCTACAGTGTTAATGCTAAAATATTTATACACCATGAACTTTTGCACATTTTATCACGTCACAAACACAAATGTCTCATCAGCATTACATTTTGAGGAGAACAAATCCACTGTTGTTGTTGTTGATGGTGAAAGCAGGAATTGTCAGAGCAAAGGCAGGTTGAATGTGGAATGCTAAACTAAACAATAAAACAAGTAGTTTTAGTAAGACGTTTAGAAGTCAAGGTTATTTTGCTTGTCATCTTTCAATTCTTTTGTTATAAAAGGCAGACTAACTGCTCTGAGTATGATGTCATTGTGGTGCAATTGCAGAGCTTTCAAACAGAAGGGGCAGAGTTAAATGTTTGTGCCAGAAGTTCCTGATTAGCATGGATGGAGCTAATCCAGGTCTGCTTTTGATCAGGGAATAACGTTGTAACATGCTAAAAATCTTAACAAAAGTTGATTGGTAGTATATGTCTCATTGAAGATATTTAAACTAGCACAAGTCTATCTTATTATTTTGTGACACATGAAAACCCATATGCTTTAAAATAATCTGAATTTAACTCTAAACTCTACGGCCTGTTTGTTGGCAATGCTCCCACACTCCAGGGACTCCGCAAACCCATTATATTATCCAACTCAAAGTGAAAATTAACTTTGTGGAATGGAAGGCGCTCACCCTTTGCGCTTTGGGTCCCAGTTGGCTTGCTTCATACCACCCGTGCAGCCATTGTGATGAATACCAAGAGCGAGCCGGGCCCGTCCCGAGCGGCCATGTCCCGTAGGAGGGGTAAACGCGAGCGCCAACGCAGGCCATCAAACAAAAGCAGGACGGGGTGCAGCAAAGGGAGTGGGTGCTGGGGTCTATGTGTGTCTGCAGGCATTAGGGTGCGTATAGGGAGGGTGGGAATGGGTGGTCTCAAAGGAGCTGATTCAGTAACTGGGGGGATCCTAGAGAGTGTAGAGCTCTGGGGAAAGTCGTCATGCAATTCCCAGAAAATGACTCGCTGCGGATAGTTAGTCTAGAAGTATGTCAAAGCAAAAAGTAAATATTGAAATACCATAGTTTAGTGTATTTGTTGTTGTTTTTCCTTTAAACTATTGCATACCAAAGGACAACACAATCAACAGGATATATAGAAAAAAGGCAATACACACACACACACACAGACTCATTCAGATAAGGTACATATATTGTTTTCCATAAAGTTATTTTCTTACACTTTTGGGAGGATAAAACAGAATTCACAAAGTTTATAGAGAAAAAGGGTTTGGTTACACTGATGTGCCCGATCCATCAAGAGCTTGCCACTTATGCTCGCCACCTTGTATTTTCTGTATCACAGTTTAGTGTTGCACAAAAATAATAGATACATATCACCCAGAATTGAACTACAGTGTATCCAAATCCTTGAGGACGCTTGGCATTGGTTTAACTATTCCCCTCCTGCGAATCTTACTGGTTGTAGTTTTGCCAACTTCTAAATACAGTATATTACTAGTGGAAAATGCTCACTGTACAATAATGGTACACACGTTCAGAAGTATACATTATTTTAGAAATGAAATACGTTATAAGTTACTGACACTAACTTCAAGCTTTCCTTCAAGTCTGCTTGGATCATAGATGAACTGAAATGCCTTCACGAATGTACGTCCATTGTTATGTATAGCAGCTTTACATTAGTTATCACCAACAAGCAGCATTATTAGTTCTTCAAAGCCTCACATTTGTCTTTCAGTATCTTTCATTACTTATGGTGGCTTCAACTTTCGCGTTGAAACTACTCGAAAAGCAATTTGTTGTTGATCCTCTTTAGATTTGAAGACTTCCTGTCAGATAAGCTCTTCTCAAACTCCATTTTCTACCATAGGCATTTTATAAGTTGAGTTTTAAACTTTGTTTTCATCTCAGCTCTCCACATCTACACTCCCAGTTGCATTGGCGGTGTGATAAGATAATTTGCTCTAACAGAGTAAGACAAATCTGTTTTTGTTGATGGATCACTTATCTCAACACGTTTTGTTTGTCCTTGCAAAAAAAAAAGAAAATCCAATAAATCACAGCTTGGATGGAATAAAGTTTAGCCTGTGCGAATCTTTGTGAAATGAACTTTTCTCTTGGTGAAGTTGTACAGTCAGAGCACAGATCAAGGTGAGAACTCGTCGACGCCAAAGGATGCACTGGACCTGTCAATGGGTTTTCGGTGCAAACTATTCTGTTTGGTTTTTTTTGGCAACTTTTGCAAAAGAAAGTACGCCCATATATATTGAGGTATTTTTTACATATTACAAACATAAAGTATGCACTAGTTGGATGTGATCATTTAATTTTTAGGTACTGAACAGAGTGTAGAGAACAGATGAAAAAGCCAAAGCTAACCTCATTATTGGAATGATTTAAAAAGAAAATTAGATCAAATAATGAATTTAACTTAATTCAAATTCAACAATAAATACACCATTGCTCAAAACCACAGCCTCCTCACCATCACTAACTGCCGTAGTACTGTCTGCGGGTGGTGAGTGGGTCACCATCGTCCTATCGAGCTCGGCTGGGCCCCGTGGTCAAAGACCCTATAACCCTGACCTTGCCATCAGGTGGTTGCACACACATCCCAACCCCTTGCCTGGCTCCAGGGTGGGGCCCCGGCTGCACCATCCCGTCACAGTGCTTTTTATTATTCCTGTTTGTGGCTTGTAAGATTTTAGACTTTATTGATCTCACACTGGAGAAATTTACATGTCACATTTGGCATGGATAGAATCACTGAGGTTGTGCAAAAGAGTAGAGAAGTCTGTGCATGGTATAATTATGTACAATAAAAAAGTCACAATAAAAGAGTGGCAATAGCAGTGCTGGTTTTTTTTTATGTTCATTTTTCAGTCCTAGTGCATTAGTGACTTAAAGCTTGAAAACGTTAAATATATACATCAGTCCATATCTAAAGCCAATGCAGAAACCAGTGGGGTGGCTAATGTGAAAAAAACCTGGATCCCAATGCAGTGGGGTTTCTGCATTGTCTGCAGAAACCCCCTATTGTTCAACGTCTATTTACCTTTTCTCAGTTTTAATCAGGTACCCCAGCATTAATTACAAACACACTGTTGTGTTGAATACCATAGAACTAATTCAAGAAAACTGATCCAGCCACATCCTATTGAGATTCATACTGGCAAACCTTCTAGCAAGAATATTTTTTCTTAAACTTTAACCTAAACTGCTCATGGATCAGAATGATAGCGCCACCGGATATGTCAATCTTTTCTGGCTCCAATTTGCACCGTTTTCATTATAACTACAGCTTCCAGCTTAATTTTGGTTAAGGTCAGAGGGGCCAATAGAGTTTGCAGGTCTTTTTCCCCTCCCTAAAGCTCGGTTATAAATGCCAAGCGAATACAGCTTGTTTCCGCTCTGAAAATGAGTGATTGGCTGATGAAAAGGTGAAGCGGGTCAAAGCAAAACAACTCCAAAGAATCACCAAGCAGTCCGCCTGTTGTGCCTTTATGTTTCTCACAATGGCAAACCCTTTTCACAAAAGTAATCTAATAAAAAATCTTAATACAATTGATCGCTTTTGTCAATACGCTTTTATCACGGGGGCACTTTAAAATAATCTTTTTGCTTTGCGTACTGGGCTGAATTTGGTGTCTCCGGGCTGCTTTCCCTGTCTCTGTCTTGGATGTGGTTTTGGGCAATAATATTAGATTATGAGCAGTACGTGGAGAATGGTATCCGGAAAAACAGTGCCTCAAGCCACGCTCTGCAAAACACATCAGGATTCAGACTGTGTTTTAGCGCTGGGAGAGGAGGGGCAGGAGGAGGCACAACCAAAGAGGAAGATTTGAACATTGTGGAGGTTTTGAGAAAATAAAAACACACTATAGAGATTGAATTACATGGAATTAAGCTTGAAAGAAGACGTGAAGTCCCTCTCACTGCTATGTTGTGGAATTCAATGACTCTTGTGGCAGATTGGAACAGTACCTCCTGGACTATACGGCGCTACTTTTTTTGTTAACCCGGTATAGCAATGTGGCCAATCTATGTATTTTGAATTTGAGCCTCCACTGGTATTATTATTATATATATATATATATATATATATATATATAGTTTTAGTCAAAAATAGATTAGATTCACAAGAGTGCTTTGACCATCACGGGTCAATAGTGTCTTAAAATACCTCGTCAGGTTGTGTCCAGTATATATCGTCTATATTTTTCTCCATCTGGGTTCTATTACAACACAAAAAAAACTGCAGCTTATTCAAGTGTGGCCATTAGATTTAAATCAGGCACAAGAAACACTTTTTTTTAGATTTTTTTGTTTTGTTTTCATACCTTTAGAGTGGTCATGAAATGTTCCTGTTTGGTCAGCTGTTTTACACCGTTTTTGTCGCTGTCTTCCTATTCCCAGAGACAGGACGACAGCGCCATCTACAGTCCAACTTATTCAGGGCAATTTACCCAGAGTTTGAACTGTTTCTTTTGAAGTCCCAGAAGGTGGATTGCATCTGTTATCAGTTAGGAAATATGCAGGGAGTTGGATTTTAATTGTAATAAGTTTGTTAACCCATAAGTATAATTACATACCGCCCCTTTCAATAACTAGAGAGTTTTTACCAGTCTCCTCTCTGCTTTAGTTTCTTTACTTTAGGTCTGTACTTTCACGCACCACTATTTATGCATAGCGTCCCAAAGGGGGAAGTTATGGTAAAAAATTCATAGCTCCATATATCAAAACTACCCCCTACTTACCTCAAGGTTGAAGTTCCTATTACCATATGTTTTTTTTTTTCAAGCCTTTTAAAAGAGCTGCTTTGCTTTTGTGTGTGTCTGGATAAAACATGGCGTGTCCTGTTTCCTAGACCCTGCTGCGGGACGGGAAGCGGGAGAGCACCGTCAGCACCCTGTACCTGTCGCCCTCCAACATCGAGTCGGGTCAGCACATCACCTGCAGGGCGTCCAACAAGGCAGCGCCCAACGGCAAGGACGCCACCGTCACCATAGACATCCAACGTAAGTGTTACCGAACCACGAACACACACAAGCGCCCATCGCCATGGAGATAGAATATGATTTTATGGTCTACTTGGTCATTTTGTATTGAAGGTAAAGATCCAGTGTTATTTCAATGTTTATTCACAGATGGAAGTCGGCTTGTTAAAGGGGCATTCCTCAACTGTCCTGGTGATGACCCGCTTTTTGTGAAGTGGTTCGATACCTGCTTCTAGCGATAGATTTTTTTGTGCTTTTAGGTCAAAGTTAAATTATACTTTTAATTTCCCTTTTGCATGTGACCTGTCCTTCAATGCCACTAGAGAAACCAGCCAAAAGCAGTGGTCGCAGCTGTGTCCCACGCTGATGCTTGGCTTGGTCAGGACATGTTTTTAGTGGCAAGGGAAACCGGAGCACCTGGAGAAAACCTATGCACACATGGGGAAAACATATGCTGCAATCAGAAAGGCCCTGTTTTGGCTGGGATTTGAACTCTCAACGGGCTCCCTTGGTTTGCTCTCCCATTCTAAAACATGAAATACCAGAGCAGACAGCAAAATATTCATGGAACAAAATAAACACAGATAATTAGACAAACAAATCATTTTCATTATTAGCGTTCAAGCGTTTATGCTCCGGTTTAGGCCGTACAACTTTGTTGTTCAAAACATTCTGTATTATGTCTTACTTTCCAAGCAGGCCACATTTCAGAACTCACCCTGATCCTCCTAAAATAAAGAATAAAATCCTTACGAGTCACACTTTAGTGAGAATGTTGGAATAATAAAAAATTTTGAGCAGAAAATGCTAGTGGAACATTCTGAAGTTAAAATAATAGATTTATTGAGGGCTTGACAGAGGAATGTGATAACATTAAATCAGGTGCTTTCTGAAGATCAAGTGTGGGCGGAAAAACTCACTGAATAATCCAAAATAAACGATGCTCCCATACTCAGAGATCTACATATGTTTGGATTAACGCCTACGCACTACATCTCAACTCTTCACCTGGGCACGCTGTTGATTTTTCCAGTAAAGTTAAAGTTCCTGCAAATGCATTGCCCCATGGTTTCTAATCACTGCCGTCTGAAGGCTAATGTGCTTTTTATAAACATTTGCTCTTTTTAAACGTTAGCTTCATCCAATCCCTCAAACCATTTACAAGTATTTTACAAAATCAGTGAAGATTTGGTGATGCTTGCTTTTGTAAAAAATCTATTAAATGTATCTTGCTATTTGGGTGTTTTAAGAGAGACATATTATGAAAAAATCCCCCGTAAAAAACAGACCCCGGTGACCTTGTTTTTAGATCCATCCATGCTAATATTAGGAACGCCTCGAAATACAGGTAATCCAAACCATTCTCTCTAAAAGGCTCCTGTAGCAGTCCTGTATGTGATATTATGATGCCATTTTACTACAATGAAATCATACTCAGCAGTTTTCTCCCTTTTTCTCTCTTGAATTTCTTTTTCAAATTGGAGAAGAAGACACAACAACAAATTCAGCTCCCGCCTCTAGTGATTACTGGCGGAAAGCATTTTTTTACCCTTCATACTTGTTTCACCAGATATTTTCCACTACATTTATTTTTTTTTCACATTCTAGAACATGAAATTACCTAAATAGATTCAGCACCGTAGTAAGTGTAGGTTGTAGTATCGAGAGTAGTTCCTGGTCATTCAGCATGACTTTTGAGATTTCCACTTCTCGACACTCGACTATTGCTTCTCTTTAGAATAATCTCCTCAGACAATTACACAAACGATTCAACCAGTAAACAAGAAGATAATGAACTGCAATAATTTGGAGAAAAACATTGAACTCTGTCTCAGAAACTTTCTAAAGATGTGTCTCATTCACTTAATCATATACCATTATAGCAGGCGGTCCCAGAGGCTATACGGGCTAATGAAGTTACTGAATCAGTCAGGCCTTACTTCTAAAGTTATCCCAAAGTTTGCCTAATTGTTATTCCATTACTCCACACAGCCATTGGAAACGCTTCGCAGTTGAAGTTATGGGTTTAGTCACACCATTTCTTCTGGTCATTACGTATTGACCATCCAGCAGCTCAATTTATTAAGCGAGAGAGGTGCATCGTGGCAAATTTCAATCTCGAGCTGTTTCCAATGCCTGCATTAAAAACATATTAACGACCTACACCAGGGAAGCGGACCTTTTCACACTCAAGGTTTGCGGGTAATTTGGTTCCAAGAAGATTATTTCACAAGACAATGTGTGTGTATAGATGTATAGAGAAGTATGGAGAGGTATACTGTATGTGATTGCTATAGAACTGATTTTTAGTACTTTCAATAACCATTTAATCAGTCACTGAATTAGTATACTAGTAAAATATAATTGGATATAATAATAATATTTGGATTTGGAACCACATACAGTCTGGAACTACTTTTGATAAGGTTTTCTGACTCACTGAGGTCTCAAATCTCAACGTGTAACATTCTTACCTCACTGTGGTAGTACTGGGCCAGTCCTCACAGGTCTTCAAACTACCACTCAGAGGATCAGTAATACAGGGCTCCAGTGTCAGACAAAGACATCCACATGGACGAGGGTTCACATCTCAACTGGCCCTTTTGACTTTCTCAAACTCTTGTAAACTAAAGCCGTCAACTACTACGCTCCCGGTATGTGGTATGTTCTACTGTGATTTACTGTCTTTTGGATTAATACATGGATCACGGTGAGATGCAGGAAGATTTTATTCTAGAAAACCCTTCAGATCTTTCATTAAGACCCGCCTTCCTCAAACTGTCATTGTGTCCTTAAGCAAGACACTTCACCCACCTTGCCTAATGACTCTGATGTGTGTGTGAAAGGTTTTTTGTTGTGTTTTTGTTAGTTGGCCCCAGGGCAGCTGTGACTACATGCATTAATTTATCACCACAGTGTTTGAGCTTGATTTTTTTATAATATCTTCTTTAAATAAAAATAATATATCTTTGAAATGGGAAAAACGTCCTCCAAATGTTTCATGAAACCCATAAAAAGTTATTGCTTGTAAATTACTACCTTATATGTTTTGCACAACCTCACAAATTCCAAAGTCACGCCATTGCTCACAACAGACCTGTGCTCCTGCGTAGTAAATAAAGCGCTCCCCATAATATTTTAACATAATGTAGAGCTTTTAATTCCTCCCTTGTGCGTACCACAAGTCTCCACCTAACCTAACCTAACCGCTGGGCAGTTTAATGAATCCTACAGCCCACAGAAAATCCTCTGGACATTTCTCCCACACCCTGTTTGCCCCTCCAGCTGCATTTGCATTTGGATGTAGGGATGTGCTTGGATAACAAGGCAGATGTTACTGCACCTGCATACAAGCTCACATGTTTCTGTTATCAGTTACAGAGGAGTACATGCAATGGGAGGGTTTGGAATAAAAGTGCCTTTGAATTATTCAAGAACAGTCAGGAGTCAGGAAGAGTCACTACCATAAGTGTGGAAGTGAGTATTTACCATGGTAAATGTAAGATTTTATTTCCCTGATATGTGAACCATTCTTAAGACTTTGCAATTCAACATTATGGATATATTTCCATATTTGTGGATATAGTTAGAATTTATTATCACTGTGAAACCTACATAATTCTTAAAGTTAGGTACTCAACTTTTAGCTCACACAAAATGGAACTATGTTATACAATCCATCTATAAAGACTTTAAAACAACAGGGTTTGTTATTTCTATTTAAAAAAATGGGACTCCATCTTAAAATTGATAAATGCCACATGTTATAGCACTAGATATCAAAATGTAATGTTTTCCCACTAATGGGCAAAACTTAGTACACAATATATTATTCAAAATGTGTCTCAAACCAAGCAGCAGAAAGCCTAAAATCAGCTAAATACTCACAATCTGTGCGTCTAATCCATGTTTCTTTGGAGATTACATTTGTTTACATTTCCAATCCAGAATCCGTTTGGTGCCAGAATGCAAAGAGCTGTCTCTCTGTAAGATATTATTCTTTAATTATTATAAATTTTGATCCTGTGGACTCACCACCTGCAGGAGGATCAATGAGGGGCTGATGCTATGTGTACTGGGTGCAGCTCTGACTGCCACCCCCCCGACCGAGAAATGGATTAAGGGGAAGAAGATGGATGGATGGATATTGCTGTTTTAAATTATTGTTTTATTATTGATGAAAATAATTATTGTTATTATTATTATTGCATACAATACATTCATTGTGCGAAATTCCTGTCCACTAAATGAATAAATAAAAATACATACTTTCTCTTTTCATATCAACGACAAGAATTTCTTTCACCAAACTGAAAGTCTTGCCAGAGCGCCTTTACAAAATTGCTGATTCTACCGGCGGAACCATAAAACCCCGCTGTGGCCCTCCATTTTCCCATCATGCCTTTTGCTCTCCGCCTCAGCCTTCTATAGTGCAGTTTGAGCATCCACCAGCTGCCAGCCATCAATATTAAGAGCGAAGGCAGTGCTAACACAGCCCACGGAGCTGGAGTATAGCTTCACCGAGGGGACTACACTCTTGGCTCCACCTGACAGCACCATCATCACTTATTCATCCAACACCTGCCAGCCTCAGCCCAGCCCCAGCCCAGCCCCTCAAAGTTCCCCATTTACCAAAGCCTGCCCCCGTGAGCCCCAGTCCCGCACCCGAATCTGCTGAGTGGCCTGGCCTGCGCGCTCTCGATCATCACGCTGCATCTGAGATCAGGAGCAGACACTCTCCTGTTACAGACACATTCCACGACCTGCACCTATGACTGGCACAGAAAATGCAAACCGGAGTTAACACTACAGGTCCCAGAGCAGTCAATTCAACAGCTTTTTGGAAGTGTAATTACTCATCTCATGTGCATTCCTGTTCTTCGTAATGTGGTGATTTTTTTCTGTATCTATAGTTCACTTCTATGTCATTATATGTTTAAGAAATTATCTTTTATTTTTGAAATGTGAGGGGTTTTCCTTTCATTTTCCACCAGATAATATCAAGTAATTACTGTAGCAAC